GAATTTAGATGCACTCTTATTGATTGTGCTTGGCTGTACATGTTCATATCCTTGAAGATGTATCATGGGGGTGTTGCAACCTAGAAGACACAAATTTGACTAACAAGTTATAAGTACATGAGTCAAAAATTATGGAAATGTAAAAGAAAGGATTCTTTCATTGTTTTACAAACCCTCCCCCAGGTCCGCTCCACCATGTAGCCCTCGCTCTAGACTCCTGTGATGACAGAAATACCTAGTCATATATCTCTTTTAAACAGTTTTCTCCCTCCTCTGTTTCAGTGCAGTATACATTATTGAACCCATCTTACTCAGTCTCTCCCCAGCCCCAAGGACAGTCCCATTCTACAACAGTGGCATCATGTAATATTTGTCCTTTTGTGACTGGGATATTTCACTCAGCATAATGTTCTCCAGAGTCAACCATTTTGAATAATATTGCATGAGTTCCTTGTTTTTTAATGCAGCATAGTATTCCATTGTGCGAATATACCACAGCTTCTCTAGCCATTCGTTTGTTGATGGGCACTTAGGTTGTTTCCAACTCCTTGCTATTGTGAACAAAGCTGCAATAAACATCTTAATAGGACTTTGTAGTGGTGCAGTAGAGTTCTGGGGGCCTAGTGGTAACAATCAGCGTTGCAATGCCGCTCTGCTTTCGAAGGGTGGGCGGTCTCCTGCGGTTCAATTAACTGGTTCACTTAACTGCCTTTCGAAATTGGCTGGAGACTCAGCTATGGGTCGTTTCTGGCTCTGCTACACAACAACAGTGGAGTTGTTTCGGCTATGTTTGAATCCACCAGCTGCTCCAAGGGAGAAATACTAACCTTCTCCTGTGCAGTTTACAGCCTGAAAACCCTGCTGGAGGGACAGCTATGAGACAACACCAACATAACTAGCAATTATTATTATTATTATTTTTAGATTTGAACCTTGTATCAAAGGTAACCTTTTCAGTGATAGGAAGGAACACTTGAATGGTTTCCTATTTTAACTGAATGGCTGCTAGATTAGATCTGCATCTCAGGTGTTCCCATTTTCCTATTTTTTTTCCTCTTTACATGATGTGCTGAATCAAAGTATGTTTCCTCTGAAATGCATCTGACTGAGAAGACCAGCACTCAGCTAATACGGGCATCACAAGGCCCAGGAACATATACTACGTGAGTAGCCTGGGCGCCCCAAGGCGTTCCCTCTTAATAACCTTTAACTCTGTGAAGAGTTGGGGAGCACTGGTGGGATGGTCTGTAGGGAGTTGTGCTGCTCACTCCAAGGCCATGTCTCTGGAGATTGGAATCTAGCAGTGGCTCCGTGGGAGAAAGGTGGAACAGTCTTCTCATATGCAGCTTAAAGCTTCACACACCAGCTGGAGGGTCAGCTGTGAGTTGGTTTCAAGTCCACAGCAAGGACGAGCTCTCAGGAGCTTTGAGATTGACCCCTGTATGACCACCCTGAAGGCAGCCACTTGAAAGGAGGGCATGTTGGAGTTTTCTCCCAGAAATAAAGCCCCTCAAGGTTGGTGTCTAGAGACAGACCAAGACACATTAGGTTAAATTTCTTAGGGAAGAGAAACTTACAGAGGAGGGGATGGTACTGCTGGGATCTGAGGGGAGGAGGAGGGAATATGTAGTTATTGTTGTGTGTGGTAGAATCAGACCCTCCAGGACATTTTCAGAGGCAGTAAATCACAAGAGATGCCCATCTTTCTCCAATGAAGCAGTTAGTGGATTTGAACCGCATACCTTTTATTTTCAACACTCTTGGCATCAGCAATCAGGAAGTCAAAAGATTAATTGCATTGTGGAAGCCTGCTGTCAGGGACCTCTCCAAAGTGCTAAAGAACAGTGATGTCAGTCTAGAGACTAAGGTGCATCTGCTCCAGGCCATGATCTTTGCAGTTATTGCTATGCATCAGAGAGCTAGGAGTGACTAAGGATGACAGAAGAGTTGATGCCTTTGAGTTGTGGGGCTGGAGAAGAGTGTTGAACATACCAGGAGAACAAAAGGTCTGTCTTGGAGAGAGTGAAATCAAGTTTCTCCTTGGAGGCAAGGATTTTGAAGCTCTGTCTCACATACTTTGGGCATGTGACCAGGAGAGAGACCAGTCCTTGGAGAAGGACGTCATACTTGGAAGGGTAGAGGGAAAGTGCAGGAGAGGAAGATCCTGGATGAGATAGATTGACTTGATAACTGTGTCAGAGTCAGTAAGACTGGTTCAGGAGACGGCAGAGTTCAGGGCTATTGTACAGAGGGTCAGTATGAGTCACGGTTGACTCGATAGCTTGTAACAGCAACAAACCTTTGTGTTGGATTTGCATCTCCGTACGCTAAGCCACCTGTCTTCTGTAGTAGTTAGGTTGAGGAAAGTCTCGGCTGATGGACTGCGAAGCCTCAAGTTCATCGTCTGCTTGACCTTCGTCTCATTCTGCAGCCATAGCTCAAGGAGAACAGGGGTCATCTTGCCCCAGAGCAAGACAAGATACAAGAAAAACAAATCTACCAGAGCTTCGCTCACTTAGCTTAGGTACAAACCAACTTGACAGACTGCCTTACAGAGTGTGTTCTGTGATGACAAAACACCTAAGCAGGTAGATGCCTCCTTGGAAGAGGAAGACCGACAGCCCGCATCGTGTGATGACGGACCAGCTAACTGGAAAGACGCTGGGGGGGGCAGCTGCGTGCACCTGCTGATTTGCATAACCTCTTTTCTTTCTAGAACTAACCTCATCTTTTTCTCAAAGTGCTGAATAAACATGAGCTCTACCCCATGCCTTCAACCTAGACTCCAGCTGTCCCCCCAGAAACCTCCCTCGCAGAGACAGACTTAGGGAGCTCACACCCCTTGTCTCCTCTGTGGTGGCATATATAATAAAACTGCTTTTCGCACTCTTAATTTCTGTCTCCAAGATTGGTTTTCCTGCCTACAGGCAGCAGAACCAGGAATTTTCTGGTAACACTTATATTGATTCCTCTGTCCTACCATCACATGAAAGGAATTTTGATGGTGCCTCTGTGAAAACACTTAGCTGTTCACTAAGAGGTTGGCAGTTTGAACCCACCCAGTGGCTCTGTGGAAGAGAAGATTTGGTGACCTGTTCCCATAATGGTTTAACCATTGTTTTCCAGTTGAATCCGACTCATGGTCAGCCTCCATTGGGTTTCTGAGGCACAGATCTGAACAGTGACATGGCAGGTGCATCTGCCTCCCCAGCCTTGGTCATCAGCCTGACTTGTAACTCAGTAGGCCCCCCAGGCTCCTTCCCTGTATGTCACAGCCGAGAAAATTCTACAGGGGCTCCTCCAGCATGTACTGACGCTTCCCCTCACTTCATAGGCACCATATCTTAGTCCTGTGTAGTTAAAAGAATAACGTGTAACCTGTCAGCCTGCTAAACCAGAGACTGGCCGTTTTAATCCACCAGCTGCTCCTTGGGAAGACGATAGACTATCTCTGCATGTACTGACGCTTCCCCTCACTTCATAGGCACCATATCTTAGTCCTGTGTAGTTAAAAGAATAACGTGTAACCTGTCAGCCTGCTAAACCAGAGACTGGCCGTTTGAATCCACCAGCTGCTCCTTGGGAAGACGATAGACTATCTCTTGTCAAGATTACAGCCTCAGAAACTCCTGAGAAACCACAGCAGGCATGGGGTTATAAAAGGTGTTCAGGGTCTCCGGTGGTGTGGAGCTGAGATGGGCACCTGTGTGGTTTACCAGACAGTAGTTCAAATCTCCAGCTGCTGAGGGAGAAAGAGGAGCAGCCTTGGAGACATTGCTGGGCCGTTATGCTCCGTCCTCAGAGGTTACTACGTGTCAGCAATCGGCAGGACCTACCACCTCTACGATAATCATCACAGAGCGTTTCAGAATTCCTGCCTAGGACCCTATCTGCCAAGGCCCAGAGTAACGACTTTGGTTTGTAGAGAAGGATTCATACATTCACTGGGAGATGTGACAGGCTGATTGACACACACCCACATGCGTGTGCACACACCACCACACACAAGCTGTGAACTGAGATGCAGAGGGAGCCCATGGGTGCGTTAGCACTGAGCCGTTGACACATTTAGTTAACCTTAGGTGGCGCTGGCATGGTTCCAGGGATGTGGGGTCAGGTTCCTGCTCGAAGCAAATTCACCTGGGCCTGTGAGTTGACTGCTCCCTGAGTGGCACAAACAGTTGACTAAGCTAAACGTTGGCAGTTCAAACCCACGAGCAGTTCTGCAGAACAAAGGCCTGGTGATCAGCCAGGAAAATGACAGCCAAGAAAAGCCTCCGGGGCAGCTCTGCTCTTTAATACCTGGGGCTGTGAGTACAGAGGGCTCGGTCGCTCTGTGCGTGTGCGCGCGCGTGTGTGTGTGTGTGTGTGTGTGTGTGGCAAGAGACAACAGACTGAGACTGCGCGGTGGCTCCTGGCAGCTGTCATTGCCCTGGAGCGCTGTGTCATAAGATGAAGTACCTGGTTCTGGGTTTGATCCCCAACTTTGTGTTTATGGAGAGGTGAGGGGGCAGTGAAGCTTGTAGCAAAGGCTTCAGCAGGCAGAATCACTGGGTATGTTCCATCCTAGCATCCCTCTGAGTGTTGTTGCTGTTTATTATTGTATCAACTACAACGCGTAGTGGCCCTGTGCTATGCTATCTTCACAACTTCTGTTACGATCAGGCGTGTTTTCCACGGTCACTGTGTCAGTCCATCTCGTTGAGGGTCTGAAAAAAGAACTGAGTTGGAAAAACAGATTCTTCACTGCTACAGGATGATTGTGATAAACCCCCACACACACTTGGTTTTGGAATGTCCGGAAAGCAGACCACACAGCCTTTGATTGGGAAGTGCCGAAGAGTGAAGGCCCAGCGTTGTGTGGGTCCCCCTTGCTCACAGGGTGACAGACTTGGCAGGTGGGGTGCGGGAAACCAGGCAGGCAGCGGGCATCTGAAGCCGTGTACTGCACGCTGCAGAACTAACTGCCACTCTGTTTCTGTTCTCTTGCAGCCCCCAGGATGGACTTCCTGGTCCTCTTCTTGCTCTATCTGGCTCTGGTGCTGACTGTTGTGGTTTTCATCTACATCTACTCAAGAACCCCGCTCTTGGAAGGCCCGGTCAGAAGGGGCGCACAGGTGAGAGATCCGGTTCTCGGGATCGATCACCAGGCTCCCAGCGCCGCTCGCTGCGGTCCTGACAGCTGACACAACCCCAATGCCCTCACGTGGGATTCCCCCTCACAGTGACCCTTTGTCAGCTTCCTGAGGCTGGAAATCTTTAGGCTTGGAGACTGTACATACTTACTCCAACAAGTGGCTGGTGGATTCGAACCGCTGACCTTTTGGTTAGCAGCACGGCATGCTATGCATTGCACCTACAGGGTCCCTTGGTCCTGACAAGACAGGCAAAGGGCACAGACACACTTTTGCTTCCTTTGTGCATTTAGTTTTGTGTGTATGGTGATTGTGGACGTCGCTCCCTCTCTGATTAAGTTGAAAGTAATCTAGCGATGGTACTTTGTGGCTCTAGAAAAATGTTCCCGGAGGTGATGTATGTGATGGGGCATGGACAGGAGCACTGTCTACTCGAGGCGCTGGGCGGGTGAAGCAGGAAGGGGGGACGGGGTGTGTGATCAGAAAGCTAAGCGCCAGGCTGCTCGCCTTCTTCCATCAGGGACCAGAGGCGATTGGTCCTCAGGGAAGGAGGACCTTGGCAGGTGTGTGGCCTCCTGGGGGCTGCTAGGCCAGGGCCTGAGCAGTGTCATTGACCCTTCTCCCAGGAGAGGCTTCTTCTGTGAGGTCAGGATAACTGCTCGCCCTGGGGAGGAGTTGGCAGCTGAGGGGTGCTGTTCTCGTGCTCTCTGCACCGCTGACGTCACTCAGACCAGCGTTTGGAGGCTGCACATCTAATGGGGGGAGACTGGCCATCTCTCTCCTGCTGGGTGACTAGTGGATTCGAAACTCTGCAGATTGGCAGCCTTTTCTTTTAGCAGTGTGACATGATCCCACTGGAACTCCTTATTTTTCCCTTTGTTCCGCCTTAAACCTCTTGTTTAATAACAACGTCGTATTAACCGTCACTGCCACTCAGGTGGGAAAGGAGCCCTCGTGCAGCTGGTTAAGCGCTTGGCTGCGGAATGAAAGGTCATTGGTTTGAACTCTATGGACAGAGACTTGGCAGCCTGCTCCCGTAAAAGAGGACAGCGTGGGGGCTCGTTCCATCTGTCCTGCAAGGTAGCTGTGAGTCAGAATGGACTCAGCAACAGTGGGACGGATGCCTGGAAAGGAGCCCTGGGGGTGCAGTGCTTCAAGTGCGTGTCTGCTCACCAAAAGGTCTGTGGTTCGAACCCAGCCCCTCAGAGGAAGCAAGACGGGACAGTCTGCTTCTGAAAAGATGTACAGCCTTGGGAAGCCAGTGGGGCAGTTTTATTTATCTCACGGGGGTCCCTGTTTGGGAGAGCTGACTTGACAGCACACGACAGGAACAGACGTGGAGACTGACGTTTGTTTGGCGGTGGGCCGTCTGAGCGTGGGACCGAGCTTTCCTCTCTCCTGTTCCAGGTCGTTTCCTGCATAGTCCCAGCGTGCGTGCTGAGGGCCGGCCGGAGACTGCTGCATTACTTCTTCCGTACACGGTATTTATGCCTCCGGAGGAGCCCTGGTGCAGTGGTTAGGCACATGTCTGTCAGCTGAAAGATTGGGGGTTCAAATCCCGCAAATGCTCGGTGAAAGAAATGTGGCAGTGTGCTTCCGCTGACATACAGCTTAGGGGGAGCTCTGGTGGCCTAGTGGCAAGAAGCTGCACTGCAATCCCAGAGGTACACAGTTTGAGGCCACTGGCTGCTCCATGAGAGGAAGATGGGCAGTCTCCTCCCGTGCGATTAACCGCCTCTGAAAACCTGCTGGAGGCTCAGTTCTGGTTGGCTCCAACTCTGTGGTCCACAACAACATATATTTTGAAAAAGTATGAGATAAAAGGACAGCTTTAAAACCCAGTGGGGCCGTTTTCTGCTGCCCCATAGTCACGTAAGAGCCCTGGCAGGGTAGTGGGTGGCGGGCAGCCCTGCTCACTTTAGGCGAGTGGTTCTAACCCACTGGCCACTCGGCTGGAGACAGATGGGCATTCTCCTCCCGGAACCGTTCAGGGGCTCAGAAACCTGGTGGAAGCTTGCTGTGAATGCACTCGACAGCATGGGATGGGAATTTTGGTTTTACCCCAGACTTTATTATATTTTTTTTTTATTTTATTTCATTGTTTTTGTGTGTACCGTCAAATCAGATCTGACTGATACAGGAGGAGATTGTTCCTCCTTCTCCAGCAGAGCATCTGGTGGATTTGAACCGTGTACCTCTGAGATTGCAGTGCAGCTTCTTACCACTAGGCCACCAGAGCTCGCCCTATCCCAGACTTTAAATGTTACCGTTTTCTTCTGTTCTGATGACGAGTTGTCGGAAGCTCCCTGTGGGTCTCCATCCAGTGGGGGAGGGCCCGAGGGGGCCTGGGTCCGAAGGCGCCACCATCCCCCCACTGTGTGGCTGTGGGACAGTTGCTTCAGGCCCTCCTCCTGCCCCCAGCTTCATCTCCTTTATCTGGGAGCTGAGGGCACATGAAACACGTGGCTGTCTGCTTCGGCGGACAATGACCACTGTGGAAACCTACAGGCCTCTGGGGTCAGGATGGACTCAAAGGCAGCGGACTGGGCGTTGGTTTGTGGGCACTTCTGTTCAGACCTGCAGTCAGAGTCTCAGCATTTCTTTACATGCCCACGCCAGCCTGCTCTGGTGCTCAGCCCTACAGCAAAGCTCTGAGTCCCCACTCAGCCCACCTGCAGCTGCACCACTGAGGTATGTGCAGGGGAGGATGAGGAGGGTCTGAGGGCGCCTGAGCAGGAAAAGAGCAGGAGGACGGGGGAGGAAGGCAGGGACATGGACGAGGGCCCGCCGCCCGTCCCTCTGCCCCCACAGCCACCCTCCCCTGGCAGGCTGGCAAACCTCCTACTCTGAACCCCCCTTTCCAGGAGCCTTCTGCTTTCCCAAGCCCCGTGTGTGCCAGTGTGTTCTAGAACGTTCCCAGCTTGATTCAGAGCACCTCCATCAGATGCCCCATCCTGGTCCTACCATCTGCTTGTCAGGAAGTGAAGGGCCCAGTCAGCGGCCATCTGAACCTCGTTCCTGTGTGCCCCGAGGGAGGGCTGCCCTCCGGAGTGCCCTTGATTCCTGAGAATTGGTTTTCCTGGGCTGCAGTGAGAGGCTGCCGTCTAGGCACTCGGGGTGGAGGGACCACTGCCATCTCTCAGAAGATGCACTGAATTTCTTGTCTCCTCTCATGGAGCCCTGGTGGCGCAGCAGCTAAGTGTTGGGATACTCACGGCAGGTCAGAGATGTGGGTCCATCTACCACTGCGAGTGAGAAAAGAGGGGCCGTCCACATGCGGGAGGTCCCAGCCTTGGAAATCCGGAGAGCAGTCCCCCTCAGTACACGTTTTCATGTGCCGGGACTCCCCTGTAGGTGTCCAGGTTTTGAGTGGCAGGCCCTTTAAAGAGGTCCACTGAAGGAAGAGGTGCAGTGAGTCTGCGGCTTGGACAGTCTGCTTTTAAGGAACAGCGAGAGTGAACGTGATCATGGCCGTGCCCTGGGACTGCCCAAGCTTCGTTCTGTTGTATGTCAGGTCGCTGTGAGTTCCAGCTCAGACATAGCAGCGCACAGCAGCTCTTAAAGCAGCTCTTCCTTCGTGGGATGCCCTTGAGTGGCTGCGGCTCGGCAGTGCCATGAGCGCCAGCGTGAAGCCCTCCCGGGGCCGCCTCCTCACAGTCAGAACGTGTGTGTACTGTGTCACAGCCACTGCGGTAGCCCATCGCATCGAGGGTCTGCCGTCCAGAGAG